TATCATCGGTCTATAAGAAAGGTTAGAATAAAATGATACTAAATCAGACTAATATCCTCGTTAGAACTAAAATGATACTAAATCAGACTAATATCCTCGATTATATATATTTTTCTATAATATTCGTCAAATCAGAAAAGTTAGAACTAAAATGATACTAAATCTTTATTAAATAATAAGTTAAAAATATAATCAAACTAAATTTAAAAAAATTAAAATAATCAAAAATTAAAATTAAAAATTATAATTAAGTTCGTAAAATCATGATCTCTCCCTATACAAATATCCTCGAATATATATATACTTTTCTATAATATTCATTTACATAATGTTTTACAAACAAACTGAAAAAAATCTTGAACTTTCTTTAATTTGAATAATCATTCTTTTTTATTCATCTTTCTTTAAATCATTTGCATTCGAAATTTAATTCTTTTTTCTTGAGTAGATTTGAATATCTTTTTGGTTTAACAATTACAACAAGGTTTATCCACAAAAGTAGCTTTGGGATAAGACTAAAGAATTTGTAGGTATATGGATTAATGAAAACTTGAGTATCAGATGGAGGTCCAGCTTTATAAGGTAAAGCATTTGGTAAATTTCATAATAGATGAAAGATTCAGCATTTATTTCCACCCCCACATTGCCCAAGGAGCAATGAGCAAGCTGAACGCATGATAGCGATAGTTAAGTGGTTAAATAAAATATGGAGAAGGAAAATGGTGGTTATCATTGTTAGCATACAACAATACTAAGACGTCTAAAGGAAGATCTCCATCTGAAATATTTTTAGGAAGAAAAAAGAGATCTGAATTAGATTTTCTAAAGTAAAAGATAATACCGAGAGAGTAAATAAATATTGAGAAATTTTCAATAGGAAGGCTTGTTAGGGTATTGTTGTTTGATAGGCCTATTAAATGGGGGAAGGGTGTATTAAGGAAAAATATAGGAAGAAATTGTAGAAATTGAAGGCCAGCGAGGTACATGGCCGTGACATGTGAAACAGATGCGACCGAGAATAGAGAGTAATTTAAACAAGAATTAGAAGTTTTTTTTGGAAAGACAAATTTTGGGATGAAAGCAAAATTTGATGATATTGAAAAACGAAATTTAGGGATGAAAGCAAAGTTTGATGTTATTAAAAAAAGAGAAATGTTGAGATGAAAGCAAAACCATAGAGTTTGATGTTTTTTGGAAAAACGGAACGAATGACTCTAAGACAGAAGAATAAACGGAGGGAAGGGTTAACTTTATATGCAATAGTAATTTTTTTTAGATATCTACTTATAACTCGAGTGGGAAATTATATCATTCGTATAGAAATATGTCCAATAGATGGATCAATAATCTCAAGGAACTGGTAAAGTTTAGCAAAGGAAGAAGTGACTAGACTATATGGAGAAATGTCAAATGATATGAGAAGGGAGACACCACAAAGGTACGACCGAACGGCAAGAATGTTTCCTTATGGTCAGCCTAGACCAAGACAATATTGGGCTTGTGGGGGTGATCATCTGATGAAATATGAATCAAATCATGACCGTCAATAATGAGACAATGATGATATAGAATGAGGTTCCAAGATTGTTGAATCAAATGGAGATGAATCATGTTTCCTAGATGAAGGTATTTAAGGGAAGGGATTTGGATGTGAAGGAGAAAGAAAAAATTTGAATATATTATTTTGATGAATTTAATTTATAAAATTATTTAGTATGCAAATGTGATGTTATATAAAAGTCGAGAAAATCTATAAAAAATTCGTTGTTTTTTTGTTTGTTTTAAAAAGATATTCTTTTTATATTTCGTTAAAATAAATTGTTATATAAATTAAATAGTTTAATTGATCAGGTTAACTAGTTGATATTTAATACATTGGTGATAGCTGGTTCAGACTTGGGGATGATAATATATAATTATTAAAATGTAGCAAAATAAATATTACCATTACATATTTTTATTATAATAATTTTAGCCATTTTTTTATATAAATTTATTTATAATCAATAACTATTTAAATATTTATTAATGTTGATTTCAATATACATTATATACATAATAAACAAACAATAAAACAAATTTATTTGTAAAAAAAATTTATAAGACTAGTTACTTTTTAAAACGATAGCTAAATAACGCGTCATTTTTTGATAAGTAATGGCTGGTAGGAGTCGCCTATTTTTTAACGAATAATAGCGTGATATTTTTAAAATTAATGTTTAACAAATGAATTTGCATTTAGACGAGAGGATTTAATCTGTCATGTAAGGTAAGAATTATACACAAACTAAGGTAGCCCGGGAAAGTTTATTGGAATTATGAGGTTCGAAAAATTCATACTATGCGACACGATGTTAAGAAAAGAGAAGAACATTTCATAACGTATATATCAGGAGAGGTAGCAAGTGTAGTTGATTCTGGTGCTGTTGAGATCCTAAGACAGGAAATGTATAAGAAACATAAAATCAAACTCAACAATTGCAGATAATTGATTAAATATATGAAATACTCTTTAAGATCGCACAAAAACAACTTGCAGAATGGCTAAAGTGTATTCAAGGCACTTGCAAAAATGGTAGTGGGTCAGGTCAATAGCAACTTTACTATAAGGGGGAAAATTCTATGAAATATGAGTCAAATCTAAGGATCCAAGAGACCAAACCAATTATATATTGACTTAAATGCACAAATAAAGCATTTAAAATCATTATGAAATCTAAAAGATAGATTGAAGAATTTGTGTATTGAATGAAAGACGCGCTAGTGTTTTTAAGTAAGCTAAGGTAGTGAGGTTGAAGTCAAAGTAGAAAAATTCTACAGATAAATCGCGTAAAAATTTATTTAGAAAATATAGAAAATCAATGAAAACGAAAAAAAGTTATAAAATAGGATACAGGGAGAATTAGTATAGGTTCTTCGTGAAAATGGTGGTATCAACGAGTGGTTAGTAAAACCATTGTCTTTATATAGCCATACTATTAAATATAAAATTATAATCATCATCATACCCAAGGGAAGGTCATTTTATAATTAGATTATCAAAATATATAAATATTAATTTTTATCATAAAATATTTTTTTAACTTATACACATTAATTTATAATAAAAAAGTCAAATAAATAGATAATATAAATAATGTGTTTTCCCTAATAACAAAATTTAATTTGTGTTCTAATACCAAATACATTAATACAAATATTTACTATCTCCAGTAGATGAGACACAGAGCTTCGATGAATGTAGGTTTACAACAAGGTTCTAGCCCTCTATTATTTAACGTAATTATTAATAAAGTAACAAAAAAAATAAGTCAAGGCTAACGTAGGAAATTTTGTACTCTGGTTATCTAGAACTAATGCTGAACCAAGCGAGCTGATAGATAGACTAGTCATTGGAGATCTGGAAGCTAAGGTTCTAAAAAATAAGTTATTTAATTAACTTTAAACATATCAGATGTATTTGATAGAAAACTTTGGAGAGCTCAGGCAGCAAAAACAAAGCCTAACCCTTTGCAAAGAAAAAAAACAGATAACGATAATATTCAGCGATAACATGATGTGAAAATGAAATATTTCACATTACCCTGATTTTTTTTAAACTTTCTTTCCAAACAAAGAAAGAATATGCAGGAACTAAAACAATATTTTTTGGCCATGGGTCGATGTGTGTAATGACATTTTTTTATTTCAGGAACCTCTGGGTAAATTCTTTTTTTTTAAAAATATCTATGGGGGTGGGCATTTTTAATTTCAAGACTAAATGTTGATAATTTTATGACCTGGCCCGGACTTTTCAAAATTTCGTTGTTATTTTATAGGGTAAATTATTTTAAAAAAACAAACAATTAAAATAAAATAACAATATGTTTTTTTATTTTTGCACAACCCTCAAAAAATAAATGACAATCAAATATATAATATATAACAAAACAGATTTAAAAAATACATTAAAAATTGGATATTTTAATTTTCGTTTTTTCTTTATATATATATTCTCCTTTTTCTAAATTCCTTTAAAATATATTTCAATATAAATTATATTTTTATAAATTTACCTTAATTCATTGGTTGTCCTCGATAACCAATCTCCAAAAATTGATGCATTTTATTATAATAATTTGAAAAATCAAAAGGAATAGTAAATTCATTAAGAATTGATGTTACATTATTAATTATTTCGTTTCGAGTATTTGGTCGGAAATTGATCGACCTATATTTGTTTTTTAACACTCCAAAAAAATTTTCTATCGGGTTTAGTTGCGGCGAATAGGGTGGCAAATATTCTATTCACGCTCTAAAACAATCAATGAGGTGGCTTTTATGGATGGATGCATTGTCCATAACAATAACTGCATCACTCGGTAAAATATTAATTAGTGCATTCATATAGAATCACCACTTACAGATGAAGAATTGATCATATGGAAATTATTTATAATATTAGGTATTGAATTTGAATTAGATAAAACAGGATCAGGATTTAATGTAAATGAATTTGTATTACTAGATAAAATTTGTCGTATATTAAACGAAAAAAATATTAAACTCTATTTTATAAAAAAAATTAAGTTATATAAAAATTGTAAATGCAAAAAAATTACCGTATGTATTTTTTAAATCTGTTTTGTTATATATTATATATTTGAGTCATTTATTTTTTGAGGGTTGTGCAAAAATAAAAAAACATATTGTTATTTCATTTTAATTGTTTGTTTTTTTTAAATAATTTACCCTATATAATAATTTTAGCTATATTTAGAAAAATGTTTTAAATGAAAATTAAAAATATGAGCAGTAAATGAATGTTCCATTACACGATTCTCAAGAATTTTCTAATTAATTGATAAAATTTTAATTAATTTCACTCCCCCCTCCCATAAGATTTTTTAAAATTTAAGCCCACTCCAGGTTGGTTATAATTAAGACCGGGTTTAGGGCTTGTGGGTCTTTCTTTACAAGAAAATTATATGGTAAATAGGGATATGATAAACAAATATTACTGAGTGGTTGTGAGTCTTTTATATTAAAAGGCAAGATAGATAAAAATCTGTTTTTTTCACCATCAGATAATGAATATTTGTCAATATTTTTTAATATAATTTTCAAGAAATGGGTTCTCATTGAAGCTGCAGAATGGCAAGTAATCTAAAACTCATCAAAATAATTTAATCTAATATAAAAATACTTTTTTAATTTGCATTTCTTCCCACATTTCATTACCACTAATAAATATAAATTTATTATGTGTGTTTATATAATTAATCATATCCATATCTTCTTCATAACTATAAGCCTTCCTAATAAAAATCTTACATTATAGAAATATTATAGAAAAATAAAACTAATAATGAAAATAATAATTTATCATAATAAACAGTTAGTTGAATTAAAAAAACCATTTAATTAGTCCAAATTATATAAAATAAAAATATTTATATTATTTATAACAAGTGATCATACAATATGAAAACTTTGTTTTTTTAAATTAAATACCCAATTATTAATTAACCATTGGATTTTAATTTTTGTTTCTATTTCTACAATAAGTTTTTATTCTTTTTAACATAGAAATTCTTGCCATACACTTGTGGTTGTTTGAACCATTGGCAAGATAAATTTGCATGATTTTGAAATTTCACAAATCGGCATTTATATTTTTCTAGCAATGTGTTATTTTTTCAACTATAAATCATTTTTGAGCGCGCTTTTTTTATTTAAAATTTTTGATTTTAACTGGAAATGTATTGCATATTGTTTGAAATACCTACCCTATAAATTTTAAACGATTTTGTCATAAACTTTTAAACTTGTTATAATTTATATTCGTTTTTCTATAGATTTTTTATATAAACAAATTATAAATGACTCACGGCAAAATTGTCGGATATTCATAAGATAAGTATTCTAAGCATGCTGGATTACATTTTCAGTAATTGGATTTTTAAATTTTAAAAAACGTATATTCAATTTGAATTAAAGGAATAATTGTTTTTTTTTAAATATTATACAATATTTGATTTTTATTTTGCAGTGATAAAGAACATGTGATCAGTTATTAACGAAATTGTAATATATATTAATTTAACCCTCTATTGCGCGACATATCAATAAATGATATAATTTTTTTAAAAAACTTATTTTTGTCTTTAAAGGGCCCTTAATAAACTAAAAAAAAATTTTTAACCGTAAAAAAAATTTCAGTGTGTATTTAAATACACTTTTTCAATTTCAAACCCATTACAAAATAAAGAAATATAATTTTATTATTTGATAAATAATAAAAACAAATTTATATTAATTTTCATGAAATAATTTAAAGCAATCGTTTTTTATAGTAAAACATAACGAAAAACCATATTTGGTACAAATCACTTTCGTAACCAATTTATACCCAGGGTTTGCATCGTGCCTTTTTACTATATTTTGGCCAATGTGCTATTAAATCCTGTCTTATTTCTTTTGCGTAATAAGACTTGTCGACCCTTTGCGATTTTTCTTTATATTTGGTGTAAATTGATATTCGTTTTTTTACGCTAGAGTTTATATTTTTGCTACATTTACTGCTGCTATTGAAATTTTAAATGTTATGGCATCTGTTCTTTTACCGGTACCTTTAAATACAAAATCTCGCCTATACATTAACCAAGATCTATGAGCATCATATCAAGTGTATGGAATATTATACGGTGATACCATTTACGTGATCTTATGTGAATACACGCTCCATCTTTTAGAATTCATTTTCAGTTGGAAGGCATAAATTCTATTAGCTCTCGCTGTAGCAATACTCCATTTTGGGATACTAATACTTGAAGTTCGAACCAATTATCAAAATACAATTTAAAATTGGAATGTAGTGGTACCAATAGTTGAAATACCGCATTTCCGCTAGATTCTACATCTGCTGATCTTGAATCAATAATTTCCTCATCTAATGAACCACTAAGGTTAGAATCAGAACTATATTCTGGAATACAATATATTTTGACTATAGAGAGCAAATAAAGAACATATGATAATATAAAAAAAATAATCAAAAAAGCCCAAATTCATATTGCATTTGTGGGCATTATGTGTCTGGGTACACATGGCTTAAAATTATTTAAATTTTAAGCACTATTAATAAATAAAAACATTTCCTTTACCTTTATTTAATAGGATTTTTAACTTCCTGTTACTTAAAAATTTGTACAAGAAAAATGATATAATTTATAAAATTGTAAAAATGCAGCTATTCGAAAGTTTTAAACTATGTATTTTAGGATTTTTATATTGATAGCTGTCTTTCATTTTTGACAAAATTAACTATAGAAATAAATAAAATATAATTGTATCTATTATACATCATGTATATTAAACTGTAAAAAAATTTATATTAAAATTTATACCTTTTTTTATGGTATGTGTTGTGTATTCAAATATGATGTATGCAATAGAGTAATTTATAATTCCAAGCCAATTTTTAAAACAGTTTTTCTTATTGTTTCTTCTTTATGACATGCAATTTTTTTACAACAAATTAGTTCTAAGAAAAGGGAAGTTAATGTAACACCCTGTTATGATAATCACACATCAATGCCAGATTGATGTTATAAATAGAAATGAAAAATGATTAAATTTCAAATAAAAAAAATTATTCAAATAATTTGTCAAATTTTTTATGAAAAAGCTTAATTGCAATTATTCATTCTTATTTTATTTTTGGCAAAATATAAATGAGCAATTCTGAATCTGTAACTTTTACCTTAAATTCTGATGATAACTCCAATAATTGATCTTCTAATTGATATCACATTCACTAAAATAAAAATTTAGATTGCCAATATTTGGTCAAAATTATTTCCAAATAACAGATAAAAATGATAAAACCACAGTGCTGCTTTCTACTCTGCCATCAAATCATTTCTAGTAATTTTCTAAAACATATGGAGATATATTTAAATATTAGCTTTTCTCCCTAATCTTATTTAGAGAAAACATTTTTCTATTATATCACAATCATTTTTTAAAAAAATTTTACTGAATCATCAAAGTAAATAGTCAAAAATTACCATGTTCTATGGTGTTTTCTTGCCACACAAGTTTAATTATGATAAGTGATGCGAAAAGTATTTTAAACAATAAAAATACAAGTTTATTAAGAATTTATAAATCAACAATTAATATATGTGGAAAACTGTGGAATGGTTCATATATTAAAATCAGTTAAAATAATAAACAATATTTTGGAATATATTATCTGTGCCTTGTGTTACAACATGGAATTCCATGTAAGTCTAAATTATGCTAATTGTTTGAAAAAATATTCTCAAAAAATTTATCCTCATAACAATTGCTTTAGAAAAATTTAAAGGGGAGAAAGAAAGGATTGTTGTTAATGAGAGCTGGACCCAGTATTATTTTGTACTAAATAAATTTCAATAGAACCAGAAAAATCTTTCCTTTGCCTCTGTTCATCTATTTTACAGCTATAATTATCTGATATAGAAGATTAATTTTCTGATATTTTAGAGTTTGATTGCAAAGGAGACTCAGCCTTTTTAGCTACTATTTCACATTCTTTGAAGCTTCGATGGGTTAAATCAATATCTAAGCAAAATGAATTAAAATCATTAATGTCTGAAACTGTTTCTATAAACATTCTAAATAAAAAAAGTCATCAGATTGTCAAAAACAATTTGTGAATTTTATTTCCACCCATAGGTGTATCTAGGATTTTGGTAATGGGTGGGAAAGCACTATTAAGTAAAATTTTTCCTTATAAATTTTACTCGATACTTTGGGTCTACTATTATAGGCCTTTGGTTATATTAGATTTTTATAAAAATAATTTTAGGTTTTCACTTTTTTTATAAAATTACTTTTTATATAAAATTTTTGATTTATAGTTGTTATTTTAAAAAGTTATTAACTTTTACTAATTTTTCTTTATAATTAGATTTTATACATTTTTTGTGGAGTGGGGTAGGAGTGTCTATAGGGAAAATTTTTGTTAGCTTAAAATGATATTTAAGAAGAGCCAAATTGGTAACACACCTGCTTCTACCCATATATATTTTTTAAGAAAAAAATTCTCTTCATATAATAAAGGTTTTAGTATATATTTTTTAAGAAAAAAAAATTCTTCTTCTAATAAAGGTTTTAGTATATTATTTGAAATAGAAAATAAAATTAAAATCCATGATATTGTGCCTGAAATTACTTATTTTAAAGATGATAGAGATAGATAAAAATATTTCCAACTAAAAAAGTGTTTTTAAAGTATAACGATTTTCTAGGTTTAAAACATAAAAATTTCATTCAAAAACAATATCAAAAGTAATATGAATTAATCTTTTTTTTAAGTTTATATATGCAATCTAGTATGATAGTAAAATTGTAAATTTTGCTAAGTGAGAGGAACACTTCCCACAATTTGGCCTATGTTTATATCCATGATTCTTTAATTATATATTTTTTTTTATAAATTTTTGTCATTGTATGAAAAATAAAGGGAATCTAGTATGGTTCGTCACTGGTCATTGCATAATGATATTAATCATGTTTACCTTTTTTTACATGAATGCCTCGTTTTCATTTCCATTCCATATGCTATTGTGGTTAACGTGACAAAAATGAAAATATCATGTTTGGTGTCAGTTAGCAGATTTTCACAAGGTTACATGAATATCATGGATGACAAATAATGAAACAATTTTATTAAAATTAAACTTTGAGGCTATCATATTTGAAAAAATCTTTTTGGTTCAATATGAACATAAAATATAATAATTTTCGATGTTTATGAATAAAATATATTTCTTTAGCACCTGCGTAGAATACAGTTTGTTAAAATGTAATTTCAAGGCTAAAAAAACCATATATATATGAGAATTTCATACTCAGTATCAAATAAAAGTATGTTATAGTTGGATAAGAAAGATTCAAATAATAACTAACAACATTTAGTGAATATAAAGGAAGTTTATCTGACGTTAGAAAAGATAATCCTAAGGAAAACGGCGATCATGCAATCAATTTTCTAAAAATATAGAAGCAGAAAATACTGAAGATATATCTGATTTGTGATAAAGTTTGTTATCCTTAATCTAAGTAGGAAGTACCTAGTTGCCATCAGTGATGAAGCGTCAGGTTCACTACTAGGGAAGAAATCAAAAAAAAAATTTATTTTTATTTTGATCAAACTCAAACCATAAAAACATTAAGATTTATAAATAAATGGTATACATCTTTGTTTTTGAGTAAAATGATAGTACTGCATTATAAAAGTTATTGCTAGATTTTAAATTTTTTAATAATTTTTTTTCAATTGAAATGAAAGATTGATTCGATAATCTATTTTGGCACATCCTGTTTCTTCAATAATATTTGATTCTTTTTAAAGATGAACTCCGTTATGCACTTGCTGTTGTTGAAGCCAAAGTTAAGATGAATTTGCATAATTTAAAAAACTCTTTAAAACTTTTCATCAAATCGGGGCATATTAAAATTCAAGTATTTCATTAACATTCTTTTTCTTTCTAAATTCAATATCGAAACACTACCTCTAATTCGGTTTCCAGCTTGTGTAAGTCGAAAAATTGAGAATAAGTGTCGTTTAAATTATCTAATAAATATTTTGGTAAAATTTACTAATATCTATCAATTCGACGAATTTAATATTTTTTGGTTAAGACATATTAAATGGAATTAATCAAATCCTTTTGAATATCGCTTGATAGTCCAATAAAAACTGCACTATTTCTAAATGATGTTTCTATAACGTTGTCGGTCCGCTTACTCTGTTATTTCTTATTCGATTGATATCTTTCCCAAAATGATTTAACACAAAATTGGATTCAACTTTATTCAAATCAGCAAATTATAATTTCGGAAAAAACAACATTTGAATTTTTAAATAAAAAAAATATATGAATGAATTTTACAATATTTCGCTTTCCTTTTATAGGGAAGCGCAGAAATATAGTTTCATAATGAACTTGCTAAATTTAATTCTTACATCTAAAAGTATAAATATCAAAAAAAATTAAAATACAGTTTCACGATGAACTTGCTAAATTTAATTATTATAATACACGCGAATACATATATATCTACAAGCAACTATCATTATTATTAAAAATTATTAAATATGTCTTGCCGCCTTTCTTTCCCCAATAATTGACTTATTCATGACATCTCCCCCCTTTATTTGCCCTTGGGGACCCCAATAACTGCCTATATTCCTCTGGCTCCACATGCAAATTCAACAACCCTTCCGACCTTCCTGGACCACCACCTTATGCGTCTCGTCTTCTTTTCACCCCCTTCTCGGCCCCCTGCGCTGATTCATACGTTGCCCGTGGACACCACCTCCGAATGTGCCCCTGTTGCCCACACCCATAACATAGATTCGAATCCTCGGCTTTCCTCCATTCTACCTTCGGTTGCTTTCCTTCCAATTTGGCCTCATTAGCTAAGGCTCTCCACTCGCTTGCTAGGGGCTCCATATCTTTGCTGATGATTGTCGTTCGTACCAAATGTGTCCCCAAGTCAACGTACCTATGCGGATATGCTAAATTAACTACCCACATATATTCTTTTTAAACATAAACATTCTCTCGCCTTCTCACCCCTACCCTACCCTAGGCCAAAAAAACGAATCGAATCGAATAATTGCGCTATTCGTATTCTTACGAATAATAAAATCATTATTCGTTTCGATTCGTCGAATATTCGATTCGATTCGAAAATTTTTTAAAGCTTATAAAATATTTTGCAAAAAAAATTTTACAGATGTTTAATGATGACACTTTTAAGGATTCTCTAAACTAATTGTCATTTTTGCATATAAAATATAACAAAATTTTAGAAAGTATTTCATTATAGATTTTATTTATTAAAAATACTTTAGTAGCATAAATTTCCTTTATTTAATTATTAATATAATTTTTAGAGGTGATTATGACATTGTAATAGAGGATGAAGATAATATAATGCACTATCTGAATTAGATTGTCTTTAAAATTTGCCAAAAATAAGGTTACTAAATGGGAAAAGGATTTTCCTAATCAAATAATAAGAACTAGTCAAAAAAATTTAGTTATTTATCTGCCAGGACGAGAATATGGGAAAGAGGCACACTCTATAAAAATGTTTTGACTTGTTCATAACATCAAAAATGATTAATCAAAATAAAATAATTATATTTTACTTTGAAGCTTTTCTTTTTCTTTCATTAAACTTTTTCAGCAAATATAACTTGTTATGATTTGATATTTGATAATAGGAAATAAAATAAAACGAAATGATATCCACTAGGAAAATTTAATTACTTCTTTTTATTTTACTTGCAATAAAATATTTGCGAATAATTACTAATATTTATATATAAATAATTTCGAATAATACGAATAATTTACCTCATTATTCATATTCGATTCGAAATTTCGAATCGAATCGAATATCAAATAACAAATAATTCGTTTTAGGCCTATCCTACCCATATACAGCCATAATGCACTTACGTTGTAATAATGGTCATTATCCCCGAATTCCGTATGCAAGAATAACCGTTTATCTAATCACAATATAAATTCAAGAACGTTTTATTACACCAAGATGATTTGCTTCTGCTCTTTATCTTTTTCTTAATTAATTAAACTTTTTAATTAATTATTTTCAATACATGTTATTATCAATCTTATTCCCTACCCACATTACTCTTCCTTCTTGTGTTTCTTTCCAAAATATAAAATATTCTTCCCCTCCTCGTTATAAAATACTAATTTTATTTAAATTCATCCATTTGTTCCTATGTTAATCACTTCCCCCTTTCAATTCCTTCCATAAAAACATTTTTTTTTATTTCCCCTTAACCTTGTTTCTTATCTTAAATTAATTCAACAACAAAAAAAAATTTTCTTAATTTCTTTATCCCATTACTACTTTCTTCCTTATATGAACCTAATCTCAATTATCCTTGTTTACTCCACTTTATTTTCTTCTTTTGAACACACACAAAAAACTCTTTTTTTTCTATTTATTTAACCCCCCCCCCCCTTTTTTCTTTCTTAATACTTAGTTTACTCTTCTCAACCATACTTTTTACAATTCTATAAAAATAACACAACTTAAATTCTTACATTTTTTTTTCTTTTAAAAAAAACACTTTAAAAAAATTTTTTTTTTTTGTTAATTGCTTTTATTATCCTTCCATATCTCCAACATTAATCACATCTTGTACTTACCTCTCTTTCAGCTACTCACTTTGCTTAATACTCATTATTAATATCCCTTCAACAGTTATATATTCATCTTCTTTCGATTTCGATCCTCGTCATATCCCTTCAACAGTTATATATTCATCTTCCTTCGATTTCGATCCTCGTCACCAAAATTCCCCCAAATTCTTCCACTACCTTTATTAGTCAATCCTCATTATTCACTTCCAACAATTTTATCATTATTCACCTCCAGCAACCTTATCCGACTCCGACTCCTCCAATCCCCATTATTCTATCATTAATTCTACTTGACAGCCGATTCCTCTTCCATCACAGTATTCTTTTTCCGCCATAGTATATAATAATTTTTTTTTTACAACACTTACGAATTATATTTATTTCACCTATATATATTATTTATTTTTTTACAATTTGGATTTACTTATACAATTTAATATTTAAACCAACAAAAATTTTTCCCTTTTTATTATTTTTCCTATGAATTTACAATTTAATTTTTTAAAAAAAAGGACTGACTATATTCATATACAATCAACTAATTATAAAATCAGATAAAACAATAATTTTTTTTTTTACTATTTGAATTTACTGTACAATTTAGGTATTATATAAAAAGAATGTCTGATTTAATATAATATTATACAATAAGAATTTTTACCAAATTTTCTCTTTCGGGAGCCAAGGAATCCGCCGACTTCTCAATGACCTTGAGAAATTTGTGTCATTCGCTATCCCTTTTCACTCCCTCCTCTACTTCTGGCCGTAACCGAACTCCCTACTACATATTGATAAATTTTCCTCACCCGGCCCCCAACTCATATTGAGCCATTTTTTCCACCAACCTGCGAAATCATTGAGCCATTTTTTCCTCATGTTTTTATTTACTTAACATAAAAATTCCTCTGACCGCTACTGCCCTGCTTCCATTCAACTTCTCAACTGGTCAGCATGTCTGACTACCACTTTTCCCTCCGAGAGCTCTATACGGTATAACATTCTACCCATCTTTCCGACCACCACTCCTGATTCCCATTTTTTTTTCACTTCCATACAACCTGTCCCACACGGTATGACCTACCTCAAACTTTATCCCACTTTCCTGTTCCGGTTTCTCACCTTCCTTCTCACTCCAAGGTCTCAACGCGTCCAATCCAATCCATGTTCGTCGCCCTAAAAACATTTCTTCCAACGATAATTCAGCCCCCTTCCGACTATTGTTATAATATGCCACCGAAATCCATATCTCACCTTCTTCGAATTTGGCCTCCCTTTACCAACTTCTCACGATTCCCACTATTCTCTCCACCTGCCCTTTTGAACTCGGATGATACGGTGGTGCTAGCACATGTTTCGCCCCACTTTCCACACAAAATCTTCCAAACCCTTCACTGCTAAAGGCCGGACCTCCATCGGACACGAAGACTT